TAAAAGTGGAATGGCTTCATTATTCGGTGGGCGGATTAAAATTCATCTAAACGATCTGCGTGGCACTGGACACTCTGCTATGTGGCGGACGTAAAGCTTGCGAAAACAGAATTTTCTGCCACCCCGTGAAAAATAGTAGCAAAACACCGCAGAAATAACCAAAATATCCACGTATCTCTAGAATCATTCAAATATCATCCCAATTCATTCAAATACGCACCTTTATCATCAAATCTGCCAATATGCCCTCCCAGCTCAGCGAATTTACCACCAATGAGATCGTACGCCTTCTAAACGATGGTTATATGCCTGCTCAGATTGCGCGGACCATTGAGTGCCACCAACAAATACTACAAGCCGAAGGGAATCAATAATGGTTGAACATGGTAGGTAAGGAAAAGGTAAAAAGGTAAAAAGGTTAAAGAAAAGAACAGAAAAGAAAAAGAAAAGAAAGCAAACACGAGCGAGGAGACGTGGAAAAATTCGATCACCCACGCCATGCCATGCCATGCCATTCCTTTGCCTGCACTTTTCCCATCAGATCCTTGAACCCATCAAAACCTGTCTCCTTCTCCATTTTCACAGCGCTTCTTTTCCTCCCTATTCCCATTTCCCTGTCCTCCATGGTGGCGATGATAATAATAATCAGCAAAATCAGTCGCGATAATATATTCCATGCACTATCCAAAAGAGGAAGGCAGGGAGGTAGTGACAGAAACAGAAGCACAAACAAAAACAAAGAATACTTATAAGAAAAGCGCATTGTAAAGGTTGGAGGGGATATATGTGCCTGTGTAAGCGATGAATAAATGAGAAAGGATGGCAGGAACAGGGTTGGAGGGATAGCGAAGGAAAAAAAAGTCGATCCCGTAATTAGACTCCCGGAACACATCCCCTGATGTCTATATTTATTTTCCCACGAGGGCTTTCCTTCCATTCTAAAGGCAGGATTTAATCGTGGTAATGCTTGAATGAAAGTTTCTTTTCCTCTTATTCTTTTATTCTCACAAAGGTCATAAAAACAAAAGAAATTAAATGACAGTCAAGGCCCATGAAGAACATGCATATGATATCAATAATACCTAACGTGGATAGTGTTAAAATGGGGAGCAACGGGAAGAAGAGCAAAAAGGAAAAAATCCGATAATTTGTGAAGGGAGCACTAGACATACATGCCCACAATTGTCGCGGGTCAGCTGTATTGCAGATAATAGCAGACAAACAAAAAGAGGGACGGAAATAAAGAGGTTTTAAAACCACTCATACTTATTTCTCCCAAACAAAATGGATAGACGAGAGACAAGGGGAAAAGACAACAAGGAAAAACAAAGGAAAGGAGAATGCTTGTGCGTGCGTGTGTGTGGGAATATTATGAGGCTTTGCTAACAACAAGGCCCTCAAGGGTGCGACCTGCGTGCAGACAAAAATTTAAATGAAATCTCTATTAAAACAAGAAAGAGAAACTAAGAAAAATGGAGAGGGAGAAACATAATCAAATGCGGGAATGATCAGTGGGTGATGGCGACGGAGGCGGTCGCGGAAGATCACGGGGTATTGGTGGGAGACTCTTGAATTCTAATGAACGCATAGCCTCAACCTTGCCCTCCCGTGCCAATACTTTACCAGTTCCATATCCAACAGACTTTGGAGATTCAGGTTTAGGGGGTGGGGGAGGCAATCGAGGAGGGGGTCCGCATGGTCCGGTAGCTGTGCGAAACTCTGGGTTCCAACCATCTCCGTTCACTTCTTCGTTCCTTTCGTACTCGTGCGATTTTTCCCTTCCGTAACTTGTTTCGCTAGGACTATTTCTCCCACCTTTACTTCCGGTACTCCCAGCTTCCCCAACCTCCTCAACGACGGGAAGAGTGGAGGTGATACCAGGCATATCGCTAGAAGTGGCCTGGATGGTACTTAAGATGTGTGGATTCGGTTCTGGATCTGTTGCGAGGTTTCTGCCTGCTTTTGCCGCATCTCGTTCAGCCCTCTCCATGACCCTGTCAATTTCTGAACGTGGGTGGGTGTGAGAAAGTGATGTACCATCCATAGATCTTTGGCCCTTGTTCTTTACTTTGCCTCTCGCGTTCAGCCTCTTCTGTGGACATGGTGATACCAGTGATAAAATTGAGAAATCGTTCCCCATACGAGTGCGGAGGTATTGGGGATATTTGATTTCGATTATGCGAAAGTCCTTTCCAGAAGTGTTCCGCCTTCTTAACCATGCCATACTATATTAAGCGAGAATAGTTAGCTAAAATATACTCCTCGATAGAAGTAAGCAACAGAGATAAAAAGAGAAAACATACATGTGTCAAGCAATCAATGACGCCGAGATAGTATATCTCATCTCCCGGTTGGCCATTCTCATGGGTAGCTCGAAAGCCACCATCATCGGAATAAAAGGCGAGATTTTTCCGTTCATCTAGTATCTCATCTGGTAGGGCCGCTGATTGTTGAATCGGCACAGGCTTTTCGCGTTTAATTATTTCTCGGAGTTCCCTTGCCTTTCGAGCGTTTTCAAGTCTCGAAGGTGTTCTCATGAGAAGACTGGGCTGCTGTTCATCACCCCGTTCGCCACCAGGTTGGAAAACTTGGAGAGTTTTGTCTCGAACGTTTTCAGCGTTTCCCTTCTCCACGTCATGTATACCAACCAAAAGCGAATAATCCATGATCTTTAGACGCTGAAGTAACGATACGTCCCTCCGAAGTTGGGATACAAAAATTTCACGTTTCATAGGGCCGAACTCAAGGCGGCGACTTCTTCGAATCCAATTCAGATCTTTCAACGTTGCTCTAGGGTTTGTCTCAAGATCGTCTTCCCGAAAATCTCGTCCAATGGTTGAGCCTTTAAGATCATACATTTGGTGTATGTCTCGATGAGGCGGAAACAAATTATTCATCACAACAAAGTGGATTTTTCGACCGTAAGCCATCTTAACCCTGTGGAGGCCGTAAAACTGGGAAATTAGGGTGTTTGGGTTGTTTTCGATGTGTTCGTAGTAGTCGCGCAAAATTCTTCGAAGGAGTTTATGTTCGGCGTGATGGATGGTTTTGATGATGTATTTATAGTCTCGAGAGAAGTAAAAGAAACTACCGCTTTTACCAGGAGAACCCAACTCAGACAAGATATACTTGCTCGTTAAAGACACCAAGTAGTCTGCGGGATCGAGTTTGAATTTCGCACGTAAACGGCGGAATACCCAGGGTGCATAGTCTTTGAATTTGAAATCATATTTGGCGGAGGGCGTCAATTCATTACCGGTTCTATAGAGGTGCGAACTTGAGTATAAAGACGAAACGAGAGAAAGTATACTTTACAGCAACTTACATGTCAAAAGAAAATTTGTGTTTTGTTTCAAAATCGGCATCGGTAAGCTCGCGGTCCATTTTCGCGTTGGTTCTTGAAACTGTAAACCGGATTCCGGTCAACATGTTGTATGCTGTAACCCAATTTACATGATTCTGATCAACTTTTGTCCCGACGATAACACGATCGTCGTCCTCTTCTTCTTTTCGCCTTCGCTTGCTAGCTCGTCTCTGTTTGATCATTTCCGCCCATCGAGCAGCATCTTCTTCTGGAGGAAGCTCGTCGGGATGAAGATCTGAATTTAGTGACCGAGTAGTTCTCCGGGCTAGGCTGAGGGACGCCCGTCGCAGTCCCGACGGGGAAGCAAGTCGGTCCCCACTAGAGACGGTATCCTCAGAAGGATCCACATGTAGCGGGGACAGGTCTCGGCTATTCTTCCAGCCATTATGGTATTTAAGTACTTGAAGGGTATGACGCTGTGTTCGAGGACTGACTGGAGGTATGGGGATATCTCTGTCGGCCCGAATGGGGGCACTAGGAGAGGAATGGCGATGGCTAGGTTGAGAAGGCGTTTCTTGGGGTCGAGAGCGAAGAGCACCATCCAACCTCGGCGGTAAAGAGGAAGGAGGACTTGACTCAGTGGAAGGGGCATTATCGGAGACGAGCTGATGACCGTTCACAAGTTGTTCGAGGCTAGTAGACCTGGGCTTTGATGGAATCCCATTCGTCTGAGGGTGAGGGATTACCACAGTTCCATTCAACTCCAAATCCGACAGAGTGTGATCCGCGGGAGAATTCATGAGACCATCATTGGATGTTGAAGTCAAAATATCATTCTCCCGCTCCTTTTCTCTCGCGGGTTCCGTGGCCATGGAAAGAGCACTTCCATTCCTCGACTTGGAGCTCTCTCGAGCGGCAGGGTAAATGGCAGATCTTGAGGTGCCAAGAGAACCCAAAGATGGCAGACTTCCCCCCTTGAAGTTGGTGACAAAATGGTCAGAGGCGGTATCGACATGACCATTCTCCCCATTTGCATCACTGGTCCAAACAAACGCATTGCTTATGGAGGATTTGTCATATGATTTTCGAGTCAAATGGTCGTGAGACGAAGATGATGACGAGCCAACTTGGCGGTGATGGTGATTGTGGAGGAGCTGAGGTTCGCTGGTGAATGATGGCATGGTGGTTGAGTAGCCACAAACAACGGCGAATTGAGGGATGGCGAGCGGGCCTCCTTTGCCACTCCTGGAGCAGAGACTTGCGGTCGTGCGGCAGAAGAGAGGATAGAACAAGGCCGTCAAGTCTCCCACCGCCAAACCACTATGATGCACTCACGGCTGAGAGGGGCTGGTCTGC